ATATATATATATATATATATATATATATATGTGGTTGATGGAGTAAATTGCAGGCGGTTTGCCCACAGCCACGTAGTACTGTGTGCAAGCCGCTAATGTAGGTGTGAACCCGAGGGAATCGGGTCAGAGGTTAAACACGCAGAGGGCTGTTGAAAGCCCTGGTGGCATGAGAATTAGCATTAGCTCTCTTACAACAAGGCGTTGGCCTCATTCAACAGACTCTGTGGGCTTCAGCGAAACACTGGATTTCCACTACCATAACAATGCCTTTCGCGGGTGCAGATTACCAGGCGGTAAACGGGCGGTCGTATGGCTGCTGGTAGTGTGATTTTGTAGTGTAGTAGTAATCTGTAGTAATCTGACAGTAGAAAGGGAGCTGACCCACTTCGGCTTCTTTGAGTGCTTCAGCGTTCGGGACCAGTGAATCCTGATAACCTTACATTGCATGACACAGAGCAATTCCGTTCACCATCACTATCATCAGAGACAGTAACATTAGTATTGACACTGATGCTACACTGCCGTGCAACGAAAAGATGGGTCTAATTGTAGTTAAAGCTTTGGAATAAAAAAGAAAATCTTCACCTGTAGCACACTTCCGGTGCCTAGATGCCAGGCCGACGGAAGGAGGCACGAGGGCTGGGATACCGCCAGATTGTCTAAGCCTAGACAGAAGTAGAGATGCTGAAGTTGGGTTCGAACCACGGACCTTCCGGTCTGTAAGGTGGCGCCTTGACCACCAAGCTAACTCGATCCTTAGAATGAAAAAAGTGGGTGAGCGGGGAGGACTTTTGCTGGTCGCGCATAGGTAATCTGGGGTGCATACACTTTCAAGCGCTGTCAATATGGAAAAAAACTGGCAACATGAACGCCACTGATATCAATTAACCGTCAGCGTCTACAGCTGAGCGCAGATGTGGGTTGTGGGGACCCCATCATGGAAGGCGTACTGCATCGAAAACGCCCAAACTCTTCCTAATATCTTTCACATCCTTCTGTGAAGTATTATTGTGTCCGTCTCGCTCTTTCCGTCATTCTGAAAGAGGCATGGAGGACATTATTCTCGTTAGACGGTGTTTTGACATGCGTGGCACATGGCCAAGCCACTACAATTGATGTAATGTAGGTCTTTCGCGACTAAGGTATTTACTGCACAACCGAATACCCGTTTTCCATTTAGTCGTTCATCGACTTCAAAAAATATTAGTAACAAAACAATGTTGAGACGATCCTGATCTAAAGATTCCACCTTAGTGTATTGGTCGCGCTTGGGTGTTGCAATGATCCCGCGGGCCACACTGGCTGAAACCTCCTTCCACAATGTGCTACGATGAGAGGAGGGTTAAAGCGGAGCAGTCAGACCAACAGCAACGAGGCCGCGTACAACGAGAATTCGCGCTACGAGACGGTCTAGGGGTAAATTCGTAATGTCCTCTGCGATAAAAGTGTGAAGGTAGTGAGCTGTTTCTGCCAGGCCACCAGCATGTCCATATTCATTCCTGTCTAGGCTTGGGAAACCTGGCAGTATCCTAGCCCTCATGCTTCCATCGGTTGGTACGGCGGCTGGGTACTGAAAGGCCGATACGGCTGAACTATTATCTTTCTTACCTCATTCATGGAAGAAGTGATACTCCCTCTTTCGGGGGGAAGACGGGTTTTTTCATTCATTCATCTACCCACTCCGGTCACCCAACGGTTGACCGTGACCGCCGGCGCATTATTCAATACGGTCGAAATACTTTTGAAATCAAAGTGTCTGATGCTGCTCAAAAGGTACCTGGTGCGCGCATCCGCAGCGGGAGTGATAAAGTGATGCCTTACTCCCTGGGCCTTCGAGCTAGGCCAGCCCCCTGTAACCGAGAAGGTCATAATATCGGGCAATGCTCGCTGAGACTTTGTACTCTCTTAAATTTGATGTATGCTTGGTCTATGAAGAACGCAAACAGGACCCAAGTTTGGTTGCGCACCTCAAAACATCAAGCACGAACTCAGGTATTTCACATTTCTCGCTCCGTGCATCCGATGGTCCATAAGCGATGACTCGTTGAATATATTAAAAAGAATTTGCACACAGCCCCGATATGCCGACACCAACCCACACAAGCTACGGTTCTGAGACAACGATTGTCCAAAACCTGAAGACGTCTCAGTTCCTGTTGTAACTGTATTTTCCTCAGCTTAGTTCTCGGTCTGAGCCTCCCAAGCTAGCGTTCACGTCAAAACAAACACCAAAGGTGCAAAAGGTCTATTAACGCCCAAAACGAAATCAGGAACAGTTGTACAGCGCTTCGTATATATAGCGTAAGCGGCTATAACTTTCTGGAATTTCTGACGCGTTCTGGAGCTCCATTGGCAACCGGCATTCGGCCAATACTGGGTCATGATTGGCTGTTGGGTCCAGATTGTTGACCAATCAGATCTCGTCTTGATGCCGGACCGGCAAGCGTCCCGAATTTTGGGCCAACCTCGAGCGGGCTAGGCTTCTCGGCCATAGCAGCGCCTAAAGACGTGCGGTATAGTGGGATCCGCGTGGATTCCTGCCTAACAAAGAACGCCACTGACATCGGTTGGCAGCCATATCTTGTAGTGTCTCCAACCAGGCACAGTGAGGATCACGCGGTCCCCATCCTGGAAGGCGAGTAACCGACAGCACCCAAGCGTTTCGTGATCTCCTTCATACTCCTCTGCCACGTCAAGGGTTGGCCATCTCTCTGTTTACGCCACTCCGAATTGGGTATGGAAAACAGAACTCACTTTGGCAAACGATGGTTCGGCATACGCAACACATATCCAAACCAACGCAGCTTCTGGTGCTGGACACAGTCTTCAATGGAATTACCCGTTCCACAACCGAAAACGCGCTTTCTAAATGCTCGTTATGGATTCGCTGACACCAACCGGCACGAACTATAGTTTTGAGACAACGATTGTCGAACACCTGAAGACGTCCCAGTTCCGCTGCTCGAATAGGCCAAGTCTCACAGCCATACAACAAAACAACCCGTACTGTAACTTGAAATCCAGGGATAAATCACTCTGACGCCATAGGTGTCTCAAATTAATAAACGCGGCCCGAGTCTTTCGGATTCGTGCAGATTTGTGTAATAGGGCACATAATATTGATCCTCCAAAAGTAGAGGGAACCGAACAACTCTTTTGATTCACAATCACTTATCGGTTGGGTGGTATTGGCTTATCTCATTTTCGACTGTCTGTCTCCAAGTATTCGATGCTAGCTGTGTAATGGCGTATCCCATGCGCAGATTTTTAAGAACGCACACAGTCCATCTGCCCAACTGGCATCGGCCGCAGTTAAACCCCATTAAGAGTCGTGTCTGCAACGTGTGACTAATTACATATGCTTGTTATTTCGTAGGATCATATTTCAACAGTTACAGTTTTCCTGTCTCCGAAATGCTGATGCGTAAACTTCATTAAAAGCCAGCCTAAAATCAAATGGATTGGAACTAACTTGTGACTAAAAGTCACAAGAATCGTCTAGATTAAATTCTCCCCTTCTGAGAAGTTCCGATAGACCAGCTGGCTGCTCAACTGCTCTTTGCTGGCTGCATCAAGTGCAGCCTTTTTCAAGCCAATCAATATTTCATTCACTTGTACTTAAAAAACTGAATATTTACTTTCGTAAGAGCCACCAATGACACGGATGCTTGTGTAGCGTTTTCTTCTTAAACGCAACTTTGTGTCAATCAGCTACGCTGTGCTCGAATGGCTGTGGGCTAACATTCATTCTCAAAGGAACATACTACTCATACGGTTGCTGAAAACAATTGTAAGAATAATCAATTCTGTCGAGAAAATATGCCGTAATATCTCCAACCGAAACGTGTGACGTGCAACACATTCATTTGAATAATAGCATAAACGAGAGATTCAGTTGGACTGTAGTTAAACTCTCAGTTGAAAACAAATTAGTCTGATTCTGACTTTGGTTCGCTTTTGGTGAAAAATTGTCACACTCCCGGTTGGTAATTGAATTCCAGTCCCTGCTGTGTTCTCCAATAAATGTGAGCGTTAACCTCAGACTACCGCAGTTCTACTGAGTTGTTTTATCTAATCTGATCTAACCTAATCGATAATTATATATATATATATATATATATATATATATATAT